TAACTTTGCTTCTCATTACTGACAGCTCTTGAAATGGGGCTGAGAGATGTGGCTTCTAATAGGACTGTTTCCACCTATAGCTGCATTTTAAAGCGTTAGACGCCTGTGTTACAAATGATGTAACACATAGACAATGATGGATGATTATGGAGAGGACTGGATTTAACATTCTCATCATATTTTTGCAAGAGTATGTAAAAAACCAACAACAGCAGGAATATCCTGCCTGACTCGATCTGTGAACCAAAGGTTCATATAGGAGCCTGGGGGCAAGAGCCCTGACCAGAGCTGGTGGGCATCCTTTACTCTCCCCAGGCCTCTCTTCCATCCTCCTGGGAGCCAACCTCAAGGACCTCTGAAGTCTGGCCTGGAAAGTCTGCATATGCCCCCACCACAGGCTAAGAGTTTATGCTTTCTTCTGCCTCTAAAGGGAGCTGGAACACACAGCAACAGATTATAATCAAGTAATACCAGATTATGCTTAACATAGAGATACTAAAACGCTTAGTTTCCTGGCAGTCAAAGTCATGAGAGGGGCCACTGCTTTACTAGAGCCAGAGACACAAAATTTCTTACTTGAGAAGGACTTTAGAAGTCTTCTGGTCCAGCTCATATATGACACACAAACCCCAGATATAACATCTGAGTCCAGATGTCAAGGAAGAAAAGTAGCTATTTTACTTGGTGGTCTTAGAAAAATAAAAGATTATCATTTGAAATGAGCTCTAGAAAGATATAGACGTTTCAAGTAGATTTGCATATTGAAAGAAAGAAATGTGGATTGACTTATTCTGTATGGCCCCAAGGGCTCTGTAAAGATTGAATGAGCTATCTCAGCAAATAATGAATGAGATTCCCATTACTGGAGTCATTCATGTAGAGAATGGATGGCATGGGATGGAAGATGGATGAATATTGAAGAATATTCATCTGGAATAAGTCAAACTGGTCTTCAACCCAGGGTATGCTATTTACCACTTCTGTGACCTTGGGCCGGTGTTGTAAGCCTTTTTCTTTATTCACAGAACAAGTACGATAATTTATTGCTCTTCTTTTAAGGGGTCTTGTGAGTTTTCAGTGAGCTAATATATATAAAGTACATAGCCATGTATCTGGGTCAATAAATAGTAACTGTTTATTGCATTTGTGTATAATCATTTGGCAGAAGCATTGTGGAAGGTTAGGATGTCAAGACCAGCAGATATTTCACATTCCTGGCAACACGGTGACTTCGCATTCATTCACTAGCGATTTACTGAGAGCCTGTCATGTGGCAGGCACAAGTCTGCAGGCAGAGATCTCAGGGGTAAATGGAGCTGATGTAGTTCTTACCCTCAAGGAGCCTGCAGTCTAGTTTCTCTGGCTGGTGTAAATGGCAGGACAATTACTGACTTCAGCTTTGGGGCGACTCATTCGAATGGTGCTAAGGACTGCCCCCAGCTCCCTGTGCTGTGAGCCTTGGGTTGCTGTTTTTGGAGTTCTGCTAGGAGAGCCCTTTGGCACTGTCCTCTTTGGTCCCACTGGTCCGTGGAAATCCATCATCTCCAGCACCATGCTGCGCCCTACTCACACCAGTTCTGTCCTCCTTTTATGAGCGCCTTGCAGATGCAAACTAAGAGCACCTCACCTGGGCTGCACCTGGCTTTTCTGCCCCAGGGCTTGACTGGTGCCTGAAGGAAACTTGGGAGAGCTCAGGTATTAACCAGAGCCTGAGGCAGTTAAGAACCCATGACAATGGGGGAAGCAGAAATGGAGGGTGTGTTCTTCCCCCTCCATCCCTCAGGCAGGTAATTCTGAGGTGTAACTTACCTGGCTCCTCAGGAGGATGCTCAGGACTGAGCCTCACTTGAACGTCAGCTTCACCGAGGTGACTCACCGAGAGCTCTCTTTGTGTCGGCTTCCTCCTTCCGGGTTTCACCATTCCTTCCTCTCACACTGGTCACCCACAGTGGCTTCCAGCATAATCTGTCTTCATGCCAACCCTCGTCTCTGGCAATGTTCTCCTGGCTGAAACGTGCTGTCTCAGTAAAACCAGTGTCACAAGACTCAACACCTCTACTAAATCTCTGTCGCTCACTCTTGGGTACTTCGAGTTCCCATGTGTTTGATGGAGGGACGTGCAGTGGTGCACGAAGTCCAAGCCCACTGGGACACCTGTCCCCAATTGCCCGGGGCCCACCGTTTGTCCCCTCCCTAAACCAGCACTGCACTCAGAGTCAACTGAGTACCGTCGGCTTGAATTCCCCTGCAATACACAGCACACTCTCCTCCTCTAATTGGTGAGTATGGAGTAGTGCCAAAACACGTTTCATACTTTACGGACTTATTCCACATCCAGACGTCAAGCAGTCCCTAGAGGTAAGTAGGGTAGGTTTGAGGATGCATTTCCCTTTGGGTGTTATCCCACATGTATGAGTCAGAGGTTCATTCATTTGCTTTGGTTAACTCCATCTAGATGTTCTATTTTCTCCTTCTAACTGCTTTGAATCCTCCTAAAACTTACAGAATAATTATGCCACCACTGCCTTTGAGTTATTTTAAATGTTTAGTCTCATTTATTTTCTTAAATGCAAAGTTCTTTAATAGCATTTTGAGTGATTGTCACAGTAGGTTTATTTTTAAATTGAGATATAATTCACATACCATAAAATTCATCATTTTGAAGCGTGCAATTTAGTAGTTTTTAGTATAGTCCAACGTTTTGCACCGATTGCCCCTATTTAATTCTAGAATATTTTCACGGCCGTTAAAGAAGCCAGTACTCATTAGTGGTCTCTCCCCATCTCACCCTCCAGCAGGTGGTCTTTAAATTCCCATCGCATGACATCATTTGGCCCATCGAGTCTGAGTACTGCAAACAGGTACACAGTGACCATTTGGGAATCACTTAGGAGCAATTGGTGGTAAGGAGCCTTCCTGCACATAGCAGTCCTGACTTCACTACGGCTGACTCTGTGACTTTGGGCAAGCATTTTATCCTTTCTGAGTCCAGTTTACATTTACACAATAAGAGGATTGGGCGATATTGGGAAGATTTGCTCTTGGATTTGCAGGATTTTAGGAGTAAAAGTATAGGGGTCTCAGGAGTGCTCAATCCTCAGACTTTGGGATGAATGTTTGTAGCTGCAGTATTTTTTTTTTGAGAGGATGCCAGATATTTGGCTAAACTATAAAAGGGTCTAAAACTCTCTCCATCACTTTTAAAAATGAACAACTAATGGGCCAGACAAGAAAGTACTTGTTCCACCTGTAACCTCTCACTATTATCTACATTCGCATTTGGGAAAATTGAGTTTCTGGGAGTGACTTGCCTGCCTCACTCAGCAGGTGGTGCTAGCGTGCAAGTCTGTGTCTGACTCCGGGGCCAGTGATTTTTCCTTAAGTCCCTGCTAAAACAGAATTTGTGCTTTGGAATCAGAAAAATCTTCAAGGCTCGTTTTATACATCTAAATATAAGACTACGTCTCAAACATAGGAGCCACTCAATACATTGTACTTCTTACATCACTCCACTTGTGAAAAAGGGCCTCTATATGCTTTACACAATCACTCCCACCACACACCCAAATGTTGCAAAACCCTTTTCGGAGCTAGTGAGAACCTCTCTCTCTCTCTCTCTCTCTCTCTCTCTCTCTCTCTCTCTCTCTCTCTCTCTCTCTCTCTTCTCTCTCTCTCTCTCTCTCTCTCTCTCTCTCTAGTGAGAACCTCTCTCTCTCTCTCTCTCCCTCCCTCCCTCCCTCCCTCCCTCCCTCTCTCTCTCTCTCTCTCTCTCTCAGATGTCAGTTCTACACTGGTTTCCTTGAAGCACAGTAGAGGCTTTGCCTGTCTGCATCCAACCCACTGAGCTTGGATGGGGCAAAACCATCGTCTTTGATGAGCTGCCTGTCTTAGCCTGTACCTGCCTCATATCAACCTAGTATATTTTATGTTAATAGATGAGACATATCTGGATATATTTTAAAACATCATCTCATTGGACCCTTTAAGAACGTACCCTGCTGGGAGATCACATTGTCTCTCCCAAGCTCCCTCTGTAGGTGAACATCGAGATGCATCTCAGTGGCTGGGAAAGGCCTTGCCTGCTTGCCTGCTTGCCTGGCTTGCTGGAGAAGGATGTGTCCTGTGTCTCAGAAGATTGAAGGCTGCCACTAAGTTTGCAGAAGCATATTTGAGCTCAGGGTATGAACTCTCCTGCCCACCTGTGGTCCTGACAAGAATCCAGAGAACCAACATCACTTGACCCCCAGCCCCTGCTCCCTTGGCTTTATCCCTGGTACAATTTTCATTTATTTCAGCTGCCTGCCCTGACCACCCAGCCAGCATGAGCCCAGGCAATGGGAACTAATTATAATATTAGCTTAGACACAACATAATTATAAAGAAAATTGCTGATAAACAACTTGGATTTATGCATTCCAAAAATCACCTAAATATTTTCAGTTGCACCTTCTGTAGAATTAGTCACACTGATACATTATCTCTCTGCATAGGCTTTGAAAGCAGAGAGTGAGTGTTTGTAGCCAGCCCCCCTTGTCTGCAGGATAGAGAACTGTAGGCCAGGCTCTGTCACCGCATCCCTGGGCGGAGCCCAGCATTGGCTTTCTCCCAAGAGAAGCTGGGTAGATTGTGAACTCTTGAGCCTAAAATGCACCAGGGTGGGAGAATTTACCATCTAGCAGAAGAAGGGCCAGGGGGTTCCAGGAGCTTTAGACAGAACAGGGACAAGCAGTGAAGCACAGAAAATTGACATTGGAAGTTGCCTGTTTGAAAGACACGACAGCCTTTGCTTGCTGCAGAGCTAATTATTATGCAAATTTATGCTAATAAACTCTGCCTTGCATGTTGTTGAGAAGCTGCCTTTTCCCGTTAACATAGCTGTAATGAGAGGTAAATTTGTAATGCAGATGCCCGTGGTAATATATCCTAAATCACTTTATGGTGGAACGGACTCTCTCACCCCACCCGACACAAATGTCAATTTAAATTAGTTTTTGCTTTGCATATTTATTGAAGCTTTATTTATTGTTAATATGTACTAAGGACACCAACTAAACAGCCCCCACTACTTGTTAGAAGTGGAATTTAGCAGGGAGCTGGGGACTGGTGTTTGCTCATCAGGAAACGGTAGTTTTTTTCTTCTCCCAGCTAGAGCCACAGCGTCAGCTTGGATGGTGCCGGAATCATTCACGTGTCTTCCTCCTCCTCTGAGCTGGCTCTCAAATTAGGCTCTGCAATGAAAGAGCGATTCTATCATGATAATTATTATATGGCATTTCTAAGAGTTAATGGTCTTTGTCACCTGTGCCTTTGTGTTTGTGATACCACCCAGACTTGTAGAAACATGCCCAGGAAACAGGAGTGCTGTGAAGACGCTGCCATTTGTCCCCTTCAGAAACTTGCATGCACACACACATGCTCTCACACACTCTATATATGCTTTAGGGCACACACATAGCTTCAAGCCCCATTTGCACTCACATCTGTGTAGTCGCACACACACCTTTATTTTCATAGTGTCTTACACATCGTTCCGGGGTGTCTTCACTCAGGTTCGAACACACACAAATCGCCACTCGCCCCTGCACCCCAGCTCTGGTCTTGCGCATAACCTCCATTCTTCTGTGAAAAGGAGCCAATGGCACTTGTACTTGGACAAGTTCTTCCAAGCAATGCTGAGATGAACCTTCCACTGCTGCATGAGGGAAACAGCACTAAACCATGAGTGATCTTGTTTCTAGTTTGCATTCTGTCACTTAGACAAATAAATAAAGCGCCTACCATGTATCAGGGACCATGTTTTTTTGTTTTGTTTTGTTTTTTGAGACGGAGTTTCGCTCTGGAGTGCAATGGCGCAATCTCGGCTCACCGCAACCTCCGCCTCCTGGGCTCAGGCAATTCTCCTGCCTCAGCCTCCCGAGTAGCTGGGATTACAGGCACGCACCACCATGCCCAGCTAATTTTTTGTATTTTTAGTAGAGACGGGGTTTCACCATGTTGACCTGGATGGTCTCAATCTCTTGACCTTGTGATCCACCCGTCTCAGCCTCCCAAAGTGCTGGGATTACAGGCGTGAGCCACCGAGGGACCATGTTAAGAATTTTCTTGCATGGTTTCGTGGTTTCATTTTCACTTATAAATAGTTCAGGTTAGGTATATATTATTCTTATCCCCATTTTGGAGTTGGGAAGATTGAGACTTTGAAAGTTTAAATGACTTACTGAAGGTTAATCCACTTATTACACAAAGCAAGTAAAATTCAGGTATATATTCTCAGGCTCCAAAGCTGTTGTTCTTTTCACTACATCGCTGTCTCCTTGCTAATGGCTTGGTAAATCTGAGTGTGAGTTTCTTCTACAATTTAAGATGGTAGATTTGATGATCTCAAACACTCTCTGATCCATCTAGCTCCAAATTATAATGTTCTGTGATAATGTAAGTAACTCTCTCCTGATTCTGTTTGCCTCTTTCTGTCTCTCACTGTGAACTAAGTTTCAGTTAGTCACTTGCTTAAGGATTCTGGACTGATGCTACCTACCTCTTTAGTATGTGTAGGTTTCTCCTAGGGCACCTTGACCCTTCACAGTTTTGTCTGACACAAGCATGGAAAAAACGAGCCTGTGAGGAACTGGGGCTAACCCAAACAAGTAAAATGTCAACCAGATGTGCTAACTTATGCATACATATATTCGAGGAATGCCGAAATGTCCATCTGCTGAAAAAGATCTCCAGTATTTATGTGTCAAGTACCTAGATTTTTCCTCATTAGTGTAAGTCTTTGAATCCAGTTACCCTGACAGGCCCTCCTGTGAACATGTAAATTCACATTACATAAAGCAACATATCAACTGTTTGTGCCAGCTAATTCTCGAGCATGTGTTTTGTGTGTACCAGAACTTAAGCAAGAGAGTGCTGAGAGAACAGAGCATATCAATTTTGATGAAGAATGTACTGGAAGAGGCAGCAGTGTCCTCCCTGCTCACAAGACAGGCTGAGAGATAGACGGCCTTTTCCTTTACCATTCGGGCATAGACTTTTGCTGGCCGAAATCTCCCATACATAAATGAAATTCTAATGAATGAGAATTTTCTTCTGATCTATTAAGGAAAAAAAAAATAGAGTTTAAAGGCTTCTTCATCTCCCTATGCCCACACCCACTGTGCCCCAATTCTAAGCTCTATTCCCAATAAAGCATAATGTCTGGGATTCCAGTTCAGAAGGTCAATGCTTCAGCTTAAAGAAGTATGCTAGATTGTGATGCTGAGCCTGGAATAAAAACACCATCTGTCAGTATCAATCTTCACTGCTTTAAAATAAATAAGTTTATCAGATCAATTTTGGTTGGAACGATATGCTGAGAAAAGGCCTAAAGAGAGTCATATAAATAAATGAATTATTATTGTTAAAATTTAAAAAGAAACATGGAAATAATGCAATTATAGAGAAGAAAATAATAATCATTCACAACTGCACCTCCAAAGATAACCACCCTTCAGACCTCCCTAGATACCATAGGGAAGAGTTGCTAGAACTTTGCAGAAATACATGACAAGCATTTTTCCCAGAGGAGGTAATTTTGAAAGGGAGGTTGGACAGCATTTTACCACGGAAGTAGGTAGACCTGGGCATGAGCCATGTCAGGGATCAGGAATGACATCTCTGATCCTGCAGAAAGAGGTGATGGCACAGGAAGGGCCAGTGAAAGAGGCAACATGAAGCTTCAGGACACTGACTTCATCCACGAAGCCACTTTGTCCAGGTGGACTTTGGGCATTAGGAAGTGCTTTATGCCACTGACTTAAGACATCTTCTCCTCCTGGATGTGTTTATGCCTTGGTGAAATAAGAAAGTCAGGCTAGTGCAGCTCTAAAGTTTCCTTCAGCCTATGATTTGCTCCCCTTGAAGGAGGAGTTGACATTCTGCTGTCCCTGAGTCCTCTCAAGGATTCAGCCAGGGTCTGGCATGAGAGCTCCCAGATTCGGAAGTTTCTCATTTCAACCCCAGAGGAGTCCCACAAAGTGAGTAGCGCCAGTGGCTCCTTTAATATTGAAGAGTGATTGGCAGCAGGAGGAGCCTGGAGTCTCGGTTTGGAAGACCCTATTCAAATTCCAAGCCACATCCTTTACTCTGCAGATCTCTGAGCAAATGACAGTGACTTCATCTCCTAGAGCCTCAGTTTCTTCATCTGGAAAATGGTATTAATCACACATCTTCAAAAGATCGTTGTGAGAATGTGTGGCTGTATATGGAAGTGCTCTGCAAATTTAAGCACGTTATACCATAAGGGAGCAATAGGGAAAGAGTCAGAACTGAGGGATTCTTTCCCACCGAATGTCATGGCTTATTGTTACTTTTCTATTTTATTTGTATAGTGGTTTTACCTTTTAGATAACTTTCACAGGTATTATCTCAATACAACTTCACTGGCCAGGCATGGTGGCTCGCGCCTATAATCTCAGCACTTCGGGAGGCCAAGGCGGGTGGATCACCTGAGGTCAGGAGTTCAAGACCAGCATGGCCAACATGGTGAAACTCTGTCTTCACTAAAAATACAAGAAAATTTGCCAGGCGTGATGGCATGTACCTGTAATCCCACCTAATTGAGAGGCTGAGGGAGGAGAATGGCTTGAACCCCAGAGAAGGAGGTTGCAGTGAGCCAAGATCACGCCACTGTATGCAAGCCTGGGTGACAGAGTGAGGCTCCATCTCAAAAGAAAACCAGAACAAACAAACAACTTCACAGGGACATGGGAGACGAGGCGCAACCTCATATGACAGATGATTTGAGCCTGAGGGTTTTCCCATGACTTGCAGGAGGACATAGAATGACTTAGTTGTTGCTGGATACCATAATCCGAACTGGGAATTGGCTTTTGCCTGGCTAATGAAAATATTGCAGGACTTATGTCAGAGATATAAGTTTGATTCCTTGAACTAACAAGAAACCTCCTTCAAGTCCTAGTACCCTCTCTAGGCCTTGACAACCTCTTCCATGAAAGGAGAGGATGGGGCAAGACTGGGATTTTTTTTTAAGGCTCTTCAGCATTGCAAGCCCATTACTCTGAGAGTCAAAGTGATGTCTCTACTGTTGGGAAGTGGCTGTGGTTTAAATTTCCAGTCTGTTACCTGGTCCTAGAGTCGGTTTCCTCTACAAGGAGAGTAGCCATTGGCAGGAGTGGAATTGGGGCAAGCCAGGGTCCCACTCCCTTCCTTATCCACCCAGGCCGTGGCCCCTCCTTGGCAGGCAGAGGCAGGCAGGGTGCTGCTGGCCCAAGGGTCCTGGGCAGGCAGCTGTGTTCCAGCACTCTGAGGAGACCAGATGCTGCGGGCACGAAGGTCCTCAGTCCCAACGAGGATGGAGTTTCTCCTGTCAGGAGGGGAGGGACAGATGAGGGCGAGTGATTTTAAGAAGAAAGGAGTCACAAGAAAGAGGCGGGACCCACAGGCTGGAGCAGCAGTTGTAGAGGGATTCAGCCTCTGAGTGAATTTTCCAGGGGAGGGTGGGAAACGGCTGCAGCGGGACCTGAAGGGTGGGTGGGGCCAGGAGAGGAGGGAGCTTCGGGCAAAGGCGACTTGGCCGTGAGTGTGGGCAGAAGCAGGAGCTTGGGCTGCTCGTGGGTTCCGGCCTAAATGGCCAGACAGCGTCTCAGCTTAACTCTGCAGTTGTTCATATACCATCCAAGCTTCCAGGAAATGTTTCCAGCACGAGAATAAAGCCTGCTTAATCTACTGCCTGCCTGCCCCGTGCCAGGCCATGTGGCTGCGGAGGCAGAGGAGACCTCAGCCTTCCCCTCCCTCCAGGCTCACTAAAGCCTGAGCGCTTCCTGACACTTCCCCTCCGGCCCGGCCCGGAAGTCCCGTTCCCGGAGCCTCCACCGAGGCCAGTTCCCCCCGGACGGGAATTCAGGAAGCACAGTTCTCCTGCCCCGGCTATCTAGCATGGGGAGGGGCACCCACACCTGGTGGCTCTGGAGTGGCCCCTGAGGACCAGCTGGCCGCCCCTTCTCCCATTGGACCCTCCGCCCGGTCCGCTGCCACAGATCAACTGTTGACACAGCCACCAGGGAAGGGGTGTGTGTCCGCCGGAACGTTCCCTACAGAGGAGCTGTGCCCTGGGACCTCAGCCGGGAAGGCGGCCAGGTGAGTTGCAGTTCCCCGGACTTCCCACCAAGGGGAGACAAAACTCCACAAATGAGCGCAGAAGCCGGGCCGGCGGCTTCAGTCACCCTGCAGCATCTGGGAACGCGCCGGGTTGCGCTGGGGTCGCTGGTGGGCCCGCGTTCCGCCGCTGCTTCCCGCTCTACGGCGGGCTCCTCTCCACCCCTCACTCAGCTGCCTCTGGATCAGTGCCACCTCCTTCCTTTGGTCAGCCCCCTTCGCCTACAGTAGGCCCCAATACAAGGGGCTTGAGGAAACAGGGTTTTTTTGTGTGTGTGGTTAAAAAAATTTAAAGCAATGTCTTCCAGTCCTGTCTACAAATGACACATTCAAGTGACCAAACCCGGCTCACGGTTAGCCCATTTCACGAAAACATTCATGAAATCTTTTTCAATTCAGGAACGGTTTTAAAGATCTAGCTCGTATTAATGATCACTAACTGTGGCCGGCTGGGTGGCTCACTCCTATAATCCCAGCACTTTGGGAGGGCGAGGTGGGTGAATCACCTGAGGTCAGGAGTTCAAGACCAGCCTCGTCAACATGGTGAAACTCCTAGCTGCGTGTGGTGGCGGGCGCCTGTAATCCCAGCTACTCGGGAGGCTGAGGCAGGGGAATCGCTTGAACCTGGGAGGCAGAGGTTGCAGTGAGCCGAGATTGTGCCATTGCACTCCAACCTGGGCGACAGAGTGAGACTCCATTTCAAATAAATAAATAAATAATCGACTGCTCTGTAAATGACCTTTTCTGAGCATGAGACTGGAGGAAACCTTACAGCAGATTAATAAGACCCAAAGTTGTCATTCACATCTTATAAAAATGAGTGTGAAGGCAGTGCTTTACAGTGGAGTGCAGGCACACCACTGCAGAGCCCAAGAAATGTGGCTCCCTAGGACCTTTTCTAAGAGCACGGTGTGGCTTTCCTCCTTCTTGGCCCCATGGGAAGCCGTCTAGTCTGCTGGGTTTAATGAAGGAGACAAGAGTCTGGAAAAGGCATCCTTGGGGACTAGCTGTAGCCCAGGGGAACAGCCCTCTGTTTGCTTCTCTCCATCGCTGTATGACACAGCATCTATCCTGACTCGGAGCCTTTGCCACTCTGGATAACTCTTATAGTTGGAGCACTTAGAAAGAGATAGGAAGGGACAGAGCAGGAACTGAACTTCCACTGGGAAGGCTGGTCTCTGGACCGACCAATAGAACTCACAACACATGCTGAGACAGTGACTAGAATACAGCAGGAAAACTCCGTGACCCAAAAACCCCATTTTGGCCTTGGCCATGAGGGACACTGGGCAGACCCAAGGAGGGTGTGGCTCTCTTTACAGACAGTGATGTCTCGCAGAGGCACCTCAGGTCAGTCACCAGTGCTCCAGCTGCCAGCTGGCTGCATGCAGCAGAGCTGGAGCAAGGCAGAAAGCTGTTCCCAGGGAGGCTGCTGTGGAGCACAGCTTGCCAAGGCAGAGGCTCAGGGATGGGGATGATGCTTGGGTCCAGTGATCAGAATTAGGATCAATGATGGGGTTGCTGAGGCAGCCCCAAATCCCAGCTGGAACAGGAGATGGAAGCTGAACTGGCAGCAAGGGTGGGCTGTCTCCCAGGATGCTGCTCAGGCAGTCCTGGATCTGGTGATGCATTAAATCTACAAGCAGAGCTCAGAAGACCTCATCTATAGGGCGAAGAGGGATGAAGGGTTGAAAACTAAGCAGGGTACAATGTTCTGAGCCAAGACCTTTATCAAAGTCAGGGTACAACATTTTGAGCCAAGACCTTTTTCAAAATTCTTGACATTAAACTGGAAACTAATGTTTTATAAGGAAGGAGGGACTCTTGGGCCTTGGTTCTATTAAATTATATCATTTGCAAATTAAAATTTTTGAAAACTACTCAGTACTGTTTGTAAACAGTGGTTATGCTGGTCAGAATCTAACAGAAAAGGCGTGAGAAGATACTGATCCTGATTTTGCCTCTATGCATGTGGTAAGGACCTGAGAGACTGAAGATAAGGACATGCAGCAGGGAGTCATGGACTTCTTTTCACTGGGGGTCTCTCAGTCTGGAAGACGCAAAGACAGGCATCTAGGGTGAGAAAGTTAGACTCACATTTGGGTGGGGTCTGGTGTTAGGGTGCAGTCTGACGCAAGTGGCTTCTGTGCTTTCCTCCCTGACACTGTGGACTCTATGGAAACTTGCAGCTTTGAGCATAATTGAAACTAGCACAACATACACCTTAGAATGACACAGAGCACAGGCCAGGCTAAGAGTTTCATGATGAAACGTGTCTTTACACCCATTGCTAGGAATGTGTTCTACAACCATAGTTGGTGTCCCCTTTTGCAGCTAAACAAGACCCAATGCCCCCTTCCTTTGGGCTTCCTCACAAGTTTCAGTGAGATTCTCAAACTGTTCAGTCTCCACCCCCACCTCTATTTTTGTATCTTCTCCCATTTATGCTTAGATGGAAAAAATAAAAGAAATGGAACTGAGGGCCCCATCTAATTTCACTTGTGGAAAAGTTTTTGAAAGGAGAGGTGAGAAGATTCCTTTTGCATAGCACATTAAAATAATTTATGGAGAACTTCTCCCTTCCAGCTAAGGAGGTGGTCAAGATGAGAGGATAAATCTTTAAAAGAATAATGTTTTCAAAATCAGGTTCCTTGCCCTCAATCTTTTGATGTATGAGTGTAAGAGTAGGTAGGACACATGGTGAAATATACATGAGAGCTCAGAGGAGAATAGCAGAGTGAAGGAAATATTAGTGTTTACATCAAAACTCAATTGGAACACTCATTTCAAGGTGATAGTTTATTATGTTGAATGCAATTTAGTCCCAGAAGGATATTTCCTTTCCATCTCCAGGACTCTCCCCAGGCCCGCACCCCCATCCCCACTTCCCATTTCCCTTCCTCCCTATATCGAGATGTAAGGAAGCAAAACACATCCACTGTGGAATTAGTTCTTTGTGGCTGCAGGTTTTGCAGACTGTAAAGGAAAGGAAGAGAAAGAGGTAGAATCCTTTGGACTGTGCCAACAGTTCCCTAGCTTTTTGGAGACTTAATCAGCTAGTTTTAAACAAAGAAGAAGTTAACACAAAGAATTATCTTCTTGTAGAAAGTCAACCAAAGAGATCAGCTTCAAACAAAACTGTCATTCTTCTTGGATGTGGTGATAAACTCTTGTAATCCTAACACTTTGGGAAACTCAGGCAAGAGCATCACTTAAACCCAGGAGTTCAAGACCAGCTTGAGCATCATAGGGAGACCCCCCAACATTAAAAATAAAAATAAAATCGAACAAAAACTATTATCCTTTTTTATTTTTTAGCTCGCATTCCTCTTAAACATACTTTAAGGATACTCAACTACAGCAAAAATTAAGTGGAGACAAAACTGATGTTGTTGAGGAGGGCAAACTGGAAAAGCAGCCTCTGCACCCCTGGAAGCAGTGGGCCCATTGGCTGATGCCCACGTGGGGTTCGGTGAGGCTGTCATCTAGACATTCAGCCAGCTGCCCAGTGGCAGCCTTTAGCCAGGAACTGCTGCGTGCAGGTTCCCAGGCCTCCAGGTGGGCTTGGCTTGTAAATTACTCTAAGGCTTACCCAGCACCCTTCAGGAGAGCTTAGGGTCTTGACCAAGGCGCCTTCCTCCCCAGCAAGAGGCCTGTTTCCTCACCTGTTAACTCCTGCTGTGCAGCCACAGTGGCAGCAGGGACCTGGGGAGCCAAGGCCTGACCACACCCTGCCTGCACCTGGTGTCTCTCTCTGCCCTTAGGGATGACTTTGCCCTGAGTGTGGGACAGACTGGTCTGAGCTTAGACCTGCATGCAGGCACTGAGGTGTGTTTTCAGGGTGGAGAACTGTCTTCTATGTGTGGCTCTATGTAACATCATGCGGCTATTGTGTCAGAAACTTATATTTCAGATTTTCTGCTGGTGCAGTGCTCAGTGAAAATGAAGGAAAGTGGGGATGACTCTCCTAACAGCTTTTGTGGTCTCTCTCTTGACACTAGAAGTAAATACTCTTCCTTGATTACAAGCTTAGAAGCTGTGAATCCTGAGGGGAGAGGGAGGGAGAGGAAGAAGGGGAGGGGGAGGAGAGAAGAGGAGAGGGGAGGGAAAGACAAGGGAGGAGAGGGGAGGGAAAGACAAGGGAGGAGAGGGGAGGGAAGCATAAGATTTGGAAGTGACCTAAAAAATCCTATTCTAATTCCATTTTTTGAAGTTTAGATTCAAAACTAAACTAAACTCTCTGAAGTGAGATTCAGAGAGAGGAATAGCCTTAAAATATTTTATGGAAAGCTTGTGGCAAATCTAGATTTCGAAATCCTGTCTCCTGACTGAGTATCACCACAAATTTCACTAGAAAAGGTGGAGTATTGAAAGCTGTAAAGATATTGGTAGCTGATTAAAGTTTTCCAAAATTCTATTCTTTACCAGAAAGCTCACATTTGAACACTGGCAGTGGATGCTGTGAATTGGTTTCCATGAAGCAACTGACCCATTTTATTCCTTTTTGGGAGAATGGCTGTCTAGTGCCCAAGTCTAACGACAACAGATCGTCCATCCTTCTTTTAAGCACACACTGTGCTCCATGAAAACAGCTAGCTCAGCTTGCAGCTCAAACCAAAGAGTGTTTTCTTGAGACCATCACACTGCTTCATTGTGCAGCGGAAGTGTTTAGGGTTA